TTTATTTTTTTGAGTACTGCCTTACTGTGTAGTACTAGAAGAGACTCCCACCTCATCTGGTCTTTTTCCTGCACTCATGCTAGAATCAGTCATGTCTCCGGGAAGCTCTACATCTTTTTAATATTGGGAAATGTTGTTTAATTTTCACATTTTTTGAATTTCCCAAATTTCCTTTTCCATCTGTTATATAATTTCATTCCATTATGGTTGAAGGACATGCTTTATATGATTTTAATCCTTTACATTTGTTGAGACTTCTCTTATGGGCTAGCAAATAGTCTGCTCTAGAGAATGTTTTATGTGCTCTTGAGAAGAATGTGTTGCATGCTGTTGTTGCAGAGTGTTCTCTAGGTGTCTGTTGGGTCTAGTTGGTTTATAGCAGGTGTCCCCAAACTACGGCCCGTGGGCCGCATGCGGCCCCCTGAGGCCATTTATCCAGCCCCCCGCCGCACTTCAGGAAGGGGCACCTCTTTTGTTGGTGATCAGTGAGAGGAGCACAGTATGTGGCGGCCCTCCAACAGTCTGAGGGAGAGTGAACTGGCCCCCTGTGTAAAAAGTTTGGGGATGCCTGGTTTATAGGGTTACTCAAGTCTTCTGTTTCCTTGATGATCTTCTGTCTAGCTGTTTTATCAATTGTTGAAAGTAGGCATTGAAATCTCCAGCAATAGTCAGTTCTCCATACCTGTGGGTCCTACATCTGTGGATTCAACCAACCATGGATCAAAAATATTAAAAGAAGAAAGCAAAGAAAAAGAAAAAAGAAAAGAAAAGAAACTAAAAATATTAAAAGGTAGGCTGGGTGTGGTGGCTCATGCCTCTAATCCCAGCACTTTGGGAGGCCAAGGCAGGAAGATCACCTGAAGTCAGGAGTCTGAGACCAGTCTGGCCAACATGGTGAAACCTCATCTCTACTAAAAATACAAAAATTAGCCAGGCGTGGTGGTAGGCACCTGTATTCCCAGCTACTCGGGAGGCTGAGGCATGAGAATCCCTTGAGCTCGGGAAGTGGAGGTTGCAGTGAGCAGAGATTGTGCCTTTTCATTTCAGCCTGGGAGACAGAGTGAGACTCTGTCTCAAAAATGAAAAACAAAAACCAAAATATTAAAAGATGTCAGGCACAGTGGCTCATGCCTTTAATCTTAGCACTTTAGGAGGCTGAGGGGTCAGATTTCGTGAGGCCCAGGAGCCTGGGCAACATAGTGAAACCCCATCTCTATTAAAAAATGAAAAAAATTAAAAAAAATTTAAAGAAGGAAAGAAAGAAATTACAACAATAAAAAAATACAAATAAGAAATATATTGCTAGAAGTATTGACATAACATTTACATAGTATTAGGTATTATAAGAATCTAGAAATGATGTAAGTATATGGGAGGATGTGAATAGACTATATGCAAATACACACCACTTTATATAATGGGCTTGATTATCTTTGGATTTTGATATCCACAGGAGCTCCTAGAACCAGTGCCTTGTGGATACCAAAGGATGACTGTATTGTTGTTGAATTGCCTGTTTCTACCTTTAATTCTATCTTTTTTTTTTTTTTTTTTTCCTTTTTTTTATTGCATTTTAGGTTTTGGGGTACATGTGATGAACATGCAAGATTGTTGCATAGGTACACACATGGCAGTGTGCTTTGCTGCCTTCCGTCCCCTCACCTGTATCTGTCATTTCTCCCCATGCTATCTCTTCCCACCTCCCCACCCCCCGCCCCTCCCCCATTTCCCCCCAACAGACCCCAGTGTGTAGTGCTCCCCTCCCTGTGTCCATGTGTTCTCATTGTTCAACACCCGCCTATGAGCGAGAATATACGGTGTTTGATTTTCTGCTCTTGTGTCATCATGTATTTTGGGGCTCTGTTGTTAGGTGTGTATATGTTTATAATTGTGATATCTTCCTGATGGATTGTTCCATTTATTGTTATAAAATGTCATTTGTTTCTAGTAACAACTTTTGTCAAGTCTATTTTGTCTGATGTTAGTATAGCTGCTCCAGCTCTCTTTTGGTTACTTTTTTCATGGCATATCTTTTTTTCACTCTTTTATTTTTACCTATTTGTGTCTTTGAATCTAAAGTTTGTCTCTTGTAGAGAGCATTTAGTTTTTTTGTTTGTTTGTTTTGAGATGGAGTCTTGACCTGTCACTGAGGCTGGAGTGCAGTGTTGCAATCTTGGCTCACTGCCACCTCCACCTCTTAAATTCAAGTGATTCTCCTGCCTAGCCTCCTGAGTAACTGGGCTTATAGGCACACTACCACACTTTTGTATTTTTAGTAGAGACAGAGTTTCACCATGTTGGCCAGGCTGGTCCCGAACTCCTGGCCTCAAGCAACCCACCTGCCTTGGCATCCCAGTGTTGGGATTACAGGCGTGAGCAACCGCATTTCTCCTAAATATTTATATTTCAAAGAACTAACCTGACATTTATTAATGAGTAGCCTACTTTTGAGGTGGAAGTCATAAACAAGAGTGAAGTGGGTTCTTTTTTTCTTTTCTTTTCTTTCTTTCTTTCTTTTTTTGAGACAGATTCTCACTCTCTTGTCCAGGCTGGAGTGCAGTGGCACATCTTGGCTCACTGCAAACTCTGCCTCTGAGGTTCAAGTCATTCTCCTGCCTCAGCCTCCTGAGTAGCTAGGATTATAGGCATGTGCCACCACACCCAGCTAATTTTTTTGTATTTTTGGTAGAGACGGTGTTTCACAAGTTGGCCAGGCTGGTCTCAAACTCCTGACCTCAAGTGATCCACCTGCCTCAGCCTCCCAAAGTACTGGGATTACAGGCGTGAGCCACTGCGCCAGGCTGTGAAGTGGGTTCTTTTATGCTAACAGCTGCAGAATGACAAGCATCTGCAGTGACAGGAAAACTGTAAACAAACTAAGAGTATTACAGAGGGACAAATATGCCTCACTCTCCCCAGGCGCATCCATGGGTAGGTTTAATGACTAAACTATTTGGACAAGGGAGCTTTATGACTTTCCTACGTTTATTTACATGGTAAATGGAACCAAGATTAAATTCAAGAGAATGGACGCACACACACACCCCCCCACACACACACCATGCTGGCTGGGTACAGTGGGGCACGCCTATAATCCCGGCACTTTGGGAGGCCTAGGTGGGAGGATTACTTAAGTCAGGAGTTCAAGACCATCCTAGCCAACATGGCAAAAACCCATCTCTACAAAAATTACCAAAAAAATTAGCTGGGTGTGGTGGCATGTGCCTGTAATACCAGCTACTCGGGAGGCTGAGGCATGAGAATTGCTTGAACCCAGGAGGTGGAGGTTGCAGTAAGTGGAGATTGTGCCACTGCAATCTAGCCTGGTGACAGAGCAAGTCTCTGTCTCAAAAAAAAAAAAAAAAAAAAACAGGTGCAGTGGCTCACGCCTATTACCCCAGCACTTTGGGAGGCTGAGGCAGGTGGATCACAAGGTCAGGAGTTCAAGACCAGCCTGGCCAAAATGGTGAAACCCCATCTCTACTAAAAATACAAAAATTAGCCAGGCGTGGTGGTGGAAGCGTGTAATCCCAGCTATTCGGGAGGCTGAGTCAGGGAATTGCTTGAACCCCGGAGCTGGAGGTTGCAGTGAGCCGAGATCACACCACTGAACACTCTAGCTTCAGCAACAGAGTGAGACTTTGTCTCAAACAAAACAAAACAAAACAACAACAAAGTAAGAAACACAAATGAAAACAAGATATTTTAAAATCTGTTAGATTAGCAGTGGTCAGACACTCATATACTGTCAAATTGGTATACTTTTTCTGCAGATAAATTTAACTGTTTAAGTTAAAACATCTGTACACTTTGACTCAGGGATTTCACTTTTAGGAATGTATATAAAAGAATCAGGAACACAGACCAAAATTTACATTCAACAGGTTTGATCACTGCATTATCTTTACAAATGAAAAATTAGAAACAAATATTCACCCAAAAGGATATGGTTAAACAACTTATAGCATATCCACAAACATAAATCTATTGAAATGATGCTTTTGAAGCATTTGGTTTCCTTGGAAAATACTCATGCTATACAGTATTTTCCAATTAGCATAACTGAAATGGCGCTTCAGTTATGCTATTTTATATAAGGAATTTGAGCATATGTGGAGTGTGATATCCTTAGGGGGTCCTGGAATCTATCCCCTGAGAATACAGAGGGCCAATTTACTGTTAAGAGGGTAAAAGTTCTGATAAAAGCTGTATATGCAGAACATTAATAATGTTATTACTAATTTATGCACTTATGGGTCTTTTTTATTTTCCGAGTTTTTTATAATGAGCATATTTTTAAATTTGAAAATAATGCATTCTTTTTAAAAAGGTAATAATATTTATTGGGAGACTGTAAGCAACATACATGCCTCTTGGATGTTTCATGCACATCATTAAAAGCAGAGCCTAAGCTAGCTCTGGCAACTCTAAGAAAGAATATGATTATGCTGGTAAGTTCTATGTATAACATGTATAACATTGTAAGTTCTATGTATAATATGTATGACATTGACTTTTCAATACAAAATGTGGAAAAAAATCAAGTTAGCCAGTATTTTAAAATGAATTTCATTTTAGAGGTTTTAAAAAGGTAGGAGATCGGCCAAGCACGGTGGCCAACACCTGTAATCCCAGCACTTTTGGAGGTCGAGGAGGGTGGATCACCTGAGGTCAGGAGTTTGAGACCAGCCTGGCCTACATGGTGAAACCCTAACTCTACTGAAAATAAGAAATTAGCCAGGTGTGGTGGCAGGTGTCTGTAATCCTAGCTATTTGAGAGGCTGAGGCAGGAAAATTGCTTGAGCGGGGAGGCAGAGGTTGCAGTCAGCTGAGATCACTCCAGCCTGGGCTAAAGAGCAAGACTCCATCTCATAAAAAAAAAAAAAAAAAAAAAAAAAAAAAGGTAGGGGATTATATATCTTTAAATGTCGTACGTTTGAATAGTTGCTTGGCTTTGTATCTGGGAACTGTTATTGCATCTGTATACCAAGTAAAACATTAACTTTTTGGTTTTTTTTCCAAGAAGAAGACGTAAAGCAATTTTGAGAGCTGTACCAGCAATTTTGAGAGCTTGCAAAAACAGCTTGTAAGGACAATGAAGCTTCCGATTTTCATAGCAGATGCATTCACAGCAAGAGCATTTCGTGGGAATCCTGCTGCTGTGTGCCTCCTAGAAAATGTAAGTGCTTGGATTTGAATTACACTACCAGAAATTCTAGATTTCTGTAGAAACAATTATTTTAAAAGACTAGTTTTCACCTGTTGATTTATCTCTTTGGTTTGTGTTCTTTGCCATTGTATCGGTGATGTTCATGTAAGCAAGTTGGTTTTGACCAAAGTATTTGATAAAAATGCGTATGCTTTGGGTACGACTAATGAAGATTCAGATAAAGAGGAACTAGGGCCAGTTTTTAAAAAGAAGAGCTAGAGCTCCCTTTTAGCCATCAGGTTTTCATTTAGTTAGCACCAGGTGTTGAGGAGAATGAAATTAGATGAGTTTTGTGACTAGACATAGCCAGTTTCACATTTAACATAACAGATCCTAGCTGAGTATCTTGAACTTACCTATAGCTTAGGTAACTAGAAATTCTTTTTAGGACCAAGAAAATGAGATATGTTGCAAGGAATTAAGTAGTTAAGTAGAGAGGTAGAAGGAATTAAGCTATAATATATAAATAACTTACTGAAAGACTCATTTTAAAAATGTCTTTTTGATTAGGCTAAATATTAATGGAATAGTTAAATATTCCTTGACCTTGAGGGTTAATAGTTAAATATTCCTTGACCTCAAGGAAGAGGCAGGAGGTCAAGGAATATTGAAAAGAAAATTCCTTGAGGTCAAGGAATATTGACCTTGTTTTTGTCCTAAGTAGTAAGAAACAAGGCAGGGTGTCCTTTCACTCAGAGCACTTAGTACAAGAGTAGATGATCTGAGAATTACTTCAAGAAGACAGTTAGCAATTGATCTTAAGTAAGCCATATTAAGTTGGGAAAAGTGTGTTGGGGCCTTCAAGGACAGTGAATCTTAACCTGGCTACACATAAAAATCACCTAAGGAGCTTTGAAAATGCTGCCTTCCAGACCAATGACAACAGACTCTGGGAGTGGAACCCAGGTAGCAGTGGTGTGTGTGTGTGTGTGTGTGTGTGTGTGTGTGTGTGTGTGTGTGTAATAGAGTTTCACTCTTGTTGCCTAGGCTGCAGTGCAATGGCGCAATCTGGGCTCACTGCAACCTCCTCCTCCTGGGCTCAAGTGATTCTCCTGCCTCAGCCTCCTGAGTAGCTGAGATTACACTGCCCTGACACCATGCACAGCTAATTTTTTTTCAGATGGAGTTTTGCTCTTGCTGCCCAGGCTGGAGTGCAATGGGGTGATCTTGGCTCACCGCAAACTCCGCCTTCCAGGTTCAAGTGATTTTCCTACCTCAGCCTCCTGAGTAGCTGGGATTATAGGCATGCACCACCATGCCCGGTTAATTCTGTAGTTTTAGTAGAGATGGGGTTTCCTCCATGTTAGTCAGGCTGATCTGGAACTCCTAACCTCAGGTGATCCTCCTGCTTTGGTCTGCCAAAGTGTTAGGATTACAGGCGATAGCCACTGCACCCAGCCATAACACAGCTAATTTTTTTTTTTTTTTTTTTTGGTATATATCTCTCTCTATATATGTATTTTTGTCTGAGATGGAGTCTTGCCCTGTCACCCGGGCTGGAGTGCAGTGATGCAATCTTGGTTCACTGCAACCTCTGCTTTCCAAGTTCAAGCGATTCTCTGGCCTCAGCCTCCTGAATAGCTGCAATTATAGGCACGCAGCTATTTTTTGTCACACCCAGCTAATTTTTGTATTTTTAGTAGAGACAGGGTTTCACTATGTTGACCAGGATGGTCTGAAACTCCTGACCTTGTGATCCACCTGCCTTGGCCTCCTAAAGTGCTGGGATTACAGGCATGAGCCACCGCACCCGGCCACTTTTTTTTTTTTTTTTTTAAAAAGAGACAGGGTCTCACCATGTTGGCCAGGCTGGTCTCGAATTCCTGACCTCAGGTGATCCACCTGCCTCGGCCTCCCAAAGTGCTGGATTACAGGCGTGAGCCACTGTGTCCAGGCTAGAGTGTTTTTTTAAAGTTCCCCAAGCGATTCCAGTGGGTGGGAAAACTGGGCTGGGTGCAGTGGCTCATGCCTATAATCCTAGTACTTTGGGAGGCTGAGGCAGGAGGATTGCTTGGGGCCAGGAGTTTGAGACCAACCTGGCCAACATGGCAAAATCCTGTCTCTAAAAAAGGAGGACTGCTGAGGTGAACATAGGTTTTTGGTTTCTGTTTTTTTTTTTTTTTTTAATTTTTAATTTTTTTTTTATAAAATAGAGACGGGGTCTTGCTATGTTGACCAGGCTGGTCTCAAACTCCTGGATTCAAGTAATGTTTCCATCTTGGCCTTCCAAAGTGCTGGAATTACAGGCATAAGCCACCACGCTTGGTGGAATATTATCAATTGAGTCCCATTTCCAGTTCTTTTCTCCCTCAAGTGGAGCAGGAGGATGGCCATCAAGAGTCCTTGTCTTACCTTAACTCCATATTCATTATGCAAACTTGCGCTGGCATTTTCTCTCCACAAAATGTCGAAGGTAATAAAGTTAATAAACTTTGTCCATTGTGACAAGAGCTTGGGAATATTAGTATGAAAATAATTAACCAGATTCCAAATTATGACCTTTCTTTAGAAACAATCTGGCAAATACAACTTCCTGTCAAGGAATTGTGGATTTGACTATAACTGCTTGTCAAAAGTCTTAATACATTTGCCTCATGGCCCCATGTAATATCCTTGAAGAGTTTTGACAGTAGTTTATATTGAATAGAATATATTCCATTTTTATCAGATAACAAACATTGGCATTATTCTCCAACTTACTCCTTTGATTTCCAGTAAATTAACTAAACATCAGACTTATGGGATTGCTATCTCTTTTTCCTTTCTCCTTCTACCACACATATTTTGTGTGCTAATCATATGTTTGGAAAAACTAGGAAATAAAAATTTAAGCAAAGAACTTCTAGTTTAAAACAACATGCTTCAGTATGAGTGGAAGAAGGAAAAAGAAGATCAGGAAGTCCATGATTTGGGGAAGCTCTCTTTTTCTTTTTTCTTTCTTTATTTTTTCGAGACAGGGTTTCACTATGTTGGTCAGGCTGGTCTTGAACTCCTGACCTCAAGTGATCCACCCGCCTCGGCCTCCCAAAGTGCTGGGATTGCAGGCATGAGCCACCGCGCCTGGCCATTTGGGGAAGCTCTCTAAAGAGTTTTCCAATTTGGCCAGCCTATAATTTGGTGGCTCACGCCTATAATCCCAGCACTTTGGGAGGCTGAGGCGGGCAGATCAAGAGGTCAGGAGTTTGAGACCAGCCTGGCCAGCATGGTGAAACCCCCTTCTCTACTAAAAATACAAAAATTAGCTGGGCGTGGTGGCACGTGCCTGTAATTCCAGCCACTTGGGAGGCTGAGGCAGGAGAATCACTTGAACCTGAGAGGTGGAGGTTGCAGTGAGCTGAGATTGCACCACTGCACTCCAGCCTGGGAGACAGAGCAAGACTTCATTTAAAAAAAAAAAAGTTTTCCAATTCACTTCTTTTGAGACTTGGGCCTATGAGACCAGGATAATTTCATGGCCTTTCAGGGACACCTGAATAGGTATCTAAAGATTAGTTTGTTAAGCCTCTTAGTCATGCTTTTCTGTTCTTTGGATGTGAGAATCTTGTCCTCTTGGAGACAAAGGTAGCACTTTTCTTAATTTCTAATCAATAACAATTATAATAGAGGTACAAATGGTGGTGTCTGCCCTTGGGTTTGTTGTGTCCTGAGATGGCGGAGAGAATACAAGTGGCCATGGGAAAATGTCAGAGACAAATAAACACTAAACCTTATCATATTGGCCACAATTCAGTAGGAATTCAGCCAGGCTCTGGGCTGAGTCAGAGGTACAAAGGTTAACAAGTTCGCCTGCCCTTCAGGTGCTCAGAGTCTAGTGGGGAAAATGGACCTGTAAACTGACTGTTAGTAGTCACCACAGAGCCTAAAAAACCTGAAAGTTCTAGGTACGACAGGGACTCAGAGGATAGAATAATGTTAGATTTTATAAGGTAAAAATGCTTCAGATTTTAAGTGCAGGGCTTCAGAGGAATTTTTTTTTTTTTTTTTTTTTTTTTTTTTGCAGATTTGTTTTCAATTATTTAAAATTTGACCAAGATGCGACTAACCATAGGAAAACTTCATGGAGAGACTAAAGACTAGGTCATGATGCTTTCAGCTTTTTTCGCACACTTGATGAAAGATGACTGAAAGTAAAGTAAAAACTTCTGAGGAATAAAGTTCAAGAGCTTCTATAATATTCTAAAGGACTTTTTGTTTGTTTTCAAGTTCACTTTTAACTTCTTTTTGAGACAAGCAATCTTCCCACTTCAGCTTCCCAAAGTGCTAGGATTACAGGTGTGAGCCACCATGCCCGGCTGACAAACTCATTTTTAAATTCTTTACATGAGAAACATATAACACTCTACATTAGGTGAAGGCAAAAAACAGATTAAGGTCTAAAAGGAACATAAAACAGATATTTGAAAAAAATTAATAAAAATTGTCTGAGTGCAATGGCTCACACCTGTAATCCCAGGACTTTGAGAAGCTGAGGCAGGAAGATCACCTGAGGTTAGGAGTTTGAGATCAGCCTGGCCAACATGGTGAAACCCCGTCTCTACTAAAAATACAAAAACTAGTCAGGCATGATGGCGTACACCTGTAATCCCAGCTACTCAGGGGGCTGAGGCAGGAGAATCACTTGAACCCAGGAGGTAGAGGTTATGGTGAGCCAAGAAAACACTGCTGCACTCCAGCCTGGGCGACAGAGCAAGACTCTGTCTCAAAAAAAAAAAAAAAAAAAAAAAAAAAAAGAAAAATGAAAGAAAAATTGATGATGTCCTCCGATACCTGACAATCTGTTTGACAATACCTTGTAGAAACGTGGAAAATGTATAGAAGCAATGTAAAAAGTAAAACAGATATGATGACAGCTGGGTAAAAACTACAAGGACCCATGAGCAACTACTGGCCATGGGTAGTGTCCTGTCTCTGAAAAAATAAAATAAAAATAAAAATAAAAAAAGCACCAGTGGTGCTAGAAGAGACAGGTT